CCTCCAGAGGCTCGGCTTACTAACACCCGAACGCACCAAGGCTCATAAGCACACACTCTGTTCGTTGCTTCATTTTTTTGTTTCTTGTCAACTCTTTTTTTTTTTTTTTTTTTTTTTTGTTCGTCTGAGTCAAACATTCCTCATCACACTCACCCTTGTTAAATTCGCGCAATGCCTTCCTTATAATGTCACAAAGCACAAACTGATTTATTTTCTTCTAACACAATTCAAATTAGGGTTTGGCTCCCTTTTTAATTGTTTCAACACTCCAGTAGTTTATGATGACACTTACCGTGTACACCTACTGGTTATGAGACTGGATGTCTGTTTGTTCATTTGGCTGTGTGTGTGTGTGTGTGTGTGTGTGTGTGTGTGTGTGTGTGTGTGTGTGTGTGTGTGTGTGTGTGTGTGTGTGTGTGTGTGTGTGTGTGTGTGTCTGTGTGCACGCCCATGGACATGCTGCACATGCCCAATAGGATTATGGTAATTGAAAAAAAAAGACACATACAAACAAGAGAAGAAATGAAATTATGTCAGAGAGAAAAGGCCAGCAACTAACAAAAGGTCAAATCCTGACCTTTTGTTTAGGTAACCACATGATCAGAAAATGTTCAGCTGCAGTGAACTGAACACGGCAACTGAACAGTTCACCTGAACTGTAATTTAATTAGAAATTAATTTAATTTAGATCGTTTAATTTAAATAAAACTGTAATTTTACAGTTTGAAAAAAACTGTAAAAAAATAAATTTAGTTTTTTAAAATTGTTATTTAAAAATACAGTTTAAAAAGATAAACTGTAATTTTTTTTTACGGTTTAAAAAATACTGTGAAAAAGTAGTTTTTTAAAAACTGTAAATAAATAAGATTGCGGTTTTATTTAAAAAGTATAATTTTAATGTTTCCGAAAGCTGAAAAGAAATCAGCTACCTGCTTTCAACAATATTTTAAACCATGTTTGATCTGGGTCAGTTACTCCAACGTTTGGAGTAACTGACCCCTGACATCGTTTTGAGTGTTCCTTCCATAATCTCAATATTTAACGACTCGTGTTTCAGCTGCTCTCTTCCTCCTCGCGTCCCATCATGCAGACACGCGGGGAGCTTCAGCAGCCAGTGCGGCCTTTTTAGTCACTGCGAAAGTGAAAGTCTCTGCAAACAGTTAAAAAAAAAATGTCAGCATCGTTCAGGGAAAGCCAGATTATTACCAGATGAAATAACATAACAGTAGGATTTTGCAACCATGCAACTGAAAACAGAAAGTGATTTTTTTTTTAACTAAGTCATCGAGGCTGTTGAGATATGAATGCTGAAAGTTTATTAATATGACCAGTTCAGACATAGAGGGGAGATGAACATGCATGCTGTGTGTGTGTTCAGTCTCCATCCTGGAGACGAGCTGCTTGAAAGTAAAAGCAGGTTCCATGTGGAAATGGGCCAGTCCTTGGCGGTGGTTAATCACTGGCGTGATTTGTATAGGGAGCGGGGAAATACTTTGAAGTTGCTGGGGGGGGGGATGGAGGGTGGCGTCTGCAGAGAGCAAACATCTGTCTGTGTTGTCTGGAGTGCTGACACTGAAAATCCACACTCCTCTGATCTGCTCTCAGGGAAATCAGCGGCAATTATTCTCCTCTCCGTCTCTCTCTGCTCCCTCCTCTCCTCTTTCCATCTTCTGCCATTACGTTAAATACAAAAAAAAAAAAAGAAGAAAGAGGAAACAGTCAACGTTTGTCACATCAGCACAAACATCTGTCTCAGACAAATGGTGCAAATTATGCACGAAGCAGCCTCTTCCTTATTTGTTTCTGGGACCTGGCAGGAGAGGAATCTCCTCCTCGGAAGTCTGAAAACCCTGGAAGGCCGTTGGATTTGGGAGAAAAAGCCCAAATCCAATCTCAGAAACACGAGAGTCTCCCCTGGTTCCCCAACTCTTTCCTTTCCTCTCTCAGAAGATCTGTGAGGTTTCAGTTTTCCCTGCATCCTCGCTGCTTTCAGGGCGAGTTTGTTCAAATCCACCTCAGGTGGGCCGGTGCCAACGTTTGGACCTCTGAGTGGACTTTTATCCTCCTGCTGGTCGGGATCAGGCTGTACCAGTCGTGCAGTTTACACAGCCCTCTTTTCATGCACGGGATTTTCATAAATGAGCACAGAAGCTGCACGAAGAGACAACTAGAGCCAAAGCAAAATGTCTGACAAACAGTTTCTGTGGAGTCGGGTCGGGTAGGAAGATTTCATTTTTTTATCGGCCTCGCTTTGGGAAAACAGCCAGAACCCGTGAGGTGAGGCTGATGAAGCTGCAGTGCCATTGATTTTAATGACAGCAAATAAAGTCATAAGTAAGCAGGCTGAGCACCTCCCTGCTCTGCTGCTGTTGCTGCTGCATTTGTGCATCAAGAGCCACTTTTCTGGCTGTAAAATTGTTAAAACTTTACCAGCTGGAAATACCTCACGTTTTCAGAATGAACCTTTAAATGAATTCATCTTTCACTCTGGAGAAAACAGGCCCACCAGGAGGAGCCACAGGGGGAACTGGGATGATCACTGGAGCCATAAAGAAGGGAGGGGGAGAAGCGTTGTTCAACACAGAACCAAAACAGAAAGGAGGCAAAAGGCAGAAACTCCAGTGATCGGAAGAAAAGAGCAGAAACACAGGAGTCAACTCGAAACTGAAACTCAATGGAATGATGTAAAAATCAGACTCCAGAGGATCCTGGTACTGGAACTCAAAGGATCTCACTTCTTTTGTTCCTGTGTAAACGATTCATTGTCAGTGCTGTGAATTTATTCTCACAGAGAAAATGCTCCCTTCAGTGACTGGAACATGTTTTATATTAATTCCCCTTTTCCTTTTGCTCCTCACAGCATGTTTGTATTTTTGACTGAATGTGCCTTTCCCGCTCCTGTTGTCAGAAGTTAAATCGCACTTTCTTGATGTAAAAAGTGCCTTGTTATTTTGCATCGTGTCTGATTTTTACATTACGATTTATCTGTTTGAAACCGGGACAGTGTACAAAATATTACATTAGCCGCAAGAGGAAATAATAATGCACTGGAAATCAGCTCTTTTCCAGAAAGAGCACAAAGTATCAATGTTTTCCTTGAATCTACACATACACTGTATGGTAGGGGAGCATCTCTGGGCAAGTTTATAAGTCACCTATTTAACTTGGTCAGTAAACTGAGATGTGACCTGCTGCAAGTTTCCAAAGTCATCATCATCCTGGGCTTTCCCCCGTTGTTGGAAGACAAAGAAATTATTCTTTATGCAAACTTGTGATTCATTATTATTGTACTTAGTACATAGGCATAATTCTAAGGATTCTCACTGACCTAAATCAAGAAGTTTGATCTGATTTAACTTCAGGTGGTGAAAGAAAACAAGTGTTTTGATGTGTGTTTACATTCGGTATTTTAACTGAGCGATGCAAAAGTGCAAGCCCCTCTACCATGGGTTTGTGTGTTTAAAACTATCGTTCCCAGTCGAGTAAAGAAATAAAATAATCTCAGAATGGTATCTTAGAAACCACAGACACAGGTTCGAGTGCGATTCTTGCCAAGCCATTCGGAATTCAGGTTAGAAAAAGCAACAGGAAGCGTGTCTCGCTGTTGCCCTCGGGGGAAGAGGAATGATCATTTTGCACGCATCTGTTTGCTCGGCCGACGCATAACGTGCATATTTACACTGCAGACCGAGGCTCCATGGCAGAGCATATGCATACGGGGAAGGCTGAAATAACAATACGTGTTTGCCTTGCCGTCAGCAGTTTGTCCCAGCTTAGAATAATTCTGCATAATGGGAAGTTTTTGTGAATTAAAACAAAAAAGGACGTAATTGAGGTGAAAAACCAAAAACTCTGTGTTAAAGCGTCTCATGGAGTTCCAGTGAATTTCTCTTCTTTCCACAAACTTCTCTGTATTTTGATTGGATATTCTTTATTTACTATTTTTGACGTCATTATAGAAGTTAAATTGTGCTTTTTAGTTGTAAATTTCAGCTAACCTTTTTTGAAAATTTGATTCATATTTAAAAATACAACAAACATATAGTTTCCTCAAGCGATTTCTAAGTGAGAGGATTTAGCGAGACAGTTTTACACCAGCATATTTCATCATCAATGTTGCACTTTTTCTCTAAGACATATATATTTTTTTTTTTTCATGTCACTGGCAGAGGTCACACAGGATCAAAATGCCCACTTTGTACAAACGCATCAGTCAGGAGAGGGATCCAAAAAAAAAAAAAAAATAGAAATCCACTCAACTCTGAAGAAGATCTCTCGCAGATTCAAATAAAACTTGTTACATCTTTTGTGGGTGTCGATCTAAGTTCTTAATTCGAGCTGTACTTCGTTAAGACTTCGGTCAGAACAAGAGCCAAAAGAATTTGCATCGTGTTTTATGCAGCAGCACAACGAGGTGAGTCATAAACAACGGAGATGATCCGGGACAACAGGTACTGCACCAAACATTTCACGTTCCTCTGAAGCTGATGACAAGACAGGAATGAAACCGATCCGGGAAATGCGTCTGGATCATTTGTAGCAAAAGTTGCATTTCCAGCAAAAAAAACCCCACATAAATAAATAACTTTTAGCAACAATATGTGAAAAGCTCAACTTGCTGTTTTTTTTTTTGTCAGACTGAAAATACAAAGTTGTTTTACCTTCAAATGCAATACATAGTTTTGACTTACTCTATGTAGCTCTTTCAACAAATTACACTGTCCTAAAAAAAGCCATATCAACAGCTAAATTATTTGATATTTTCAACAATTGATTAAACACAATTGATCCAATTAATCCGATTAACTGTTTCAGCCCTAAACTTTCGCATGTGCCTGTCTGAATGTTTCAGAAGTTGATTTTTTTTTGCAGCAACAGTGACATGGGAGTTGAAACTCTGAAACCTTTAAATTAGCACAACTGATCATTTCTGCAGCTCAACTTGGACTTTTCTCCCCTCCAAGTTTATATGAAACGTAAGAGAAAAGCAACGTCTCGTATACATCAATACAGAATTTTATTTTCATTTTACCTTCAGATGAACGTCTTACATTTTGTACAAAATCATTAGAAAATGTCTGCTGCTCCATAATCCCGGGGCTAATCCTTGGTAGAGGGGGGTGGGGGGACCGCTACGGGATTAAACTGGGAATCATGCAGCATCCTGGACCGGGCGACGAGGCTCGGCCCGACCTTCAGATCAACGTTTCAGTCCACCGTTTCTCAATTAATTATCAAACATCCACTTTCACGCCTCCTTCCCCAGCGAGGGGCATCTGGAGGGGGTATAATCGCGGTATAATCTGACCACATCTAGTAAGGTAGAGAGATACAGATTAGGAGGAAGAAGGAGGAGAGTCTGCGGCCGACGCCGTACGGTCTTTCTCCACTCGTACGTCTGCGATGGATGGGCACAGTAGCACGTCAACGACACCATGCATGTTTGCATACGTACGACACATCATAAGGTTCGATAAGCTGAAAAGATGTTTTTTTTTAAGTTTATAAAACCATCAACATCATCAATCATTTAAAAATAAAATAAAATAAAATAAAAAGAGGAATCAACTGATGTGTGCAGAAGAGAAGGAGCTTGGATGATGGAAAGAGGGTAGATGTTTTGCTATTGTACATGCCCATCACACACACACACACACACACACACACACACACACACACACACACACACACACACACACACACACACACACACACACACACACACACACACACACACACACGTTAAGTCTCAGCTAAGCGCACAAACGTCTCAAGTCAGAAGTTTTCAAATCTTCCTTTTTAAGAAAAAATTTAATTGGTAAACCTGATGGATGCGGCGCCAAACAATCAGGATCCGTCGGCTTGATGACGACGGATTTTTAGAAACGTCCTCCCCTTCCAAACAGAAATAAAAAAACAATAAAACCAGAGAGGCACGAGGCACTTACACAATCACTTTCATTGTACACAGTGCTTGCATTTATATACGTGTCCACCATAAATGAGACACGGCTACATTGTGTTTTTTTTTTTTTTCACTCTTTCTTTCCTCTCTCTGTTCAACCACGCTCTCAGGGTGGGGGGCTCATTTTCACAATGAAGCATGGTTTGTTTTTGCTCTGTTTTTGTAGCAGTTGGCACATGTACATGCAAAAAGCTCCAGATTCTGGCCCGCACAGGCAAACTAAAGGGGACGGCGGAGGAGTGGACACAGGGGAGGGGGGCAGGAAGGTAAACTGATTGGTATGTGGACAGAACAACACACAGACAGACTGAAAGGCAGGTTCTTGAACGCCTCCCCCAGCCTTTGATCCCGTCCCTGCCCCTCGTCGTGTCTGGTGTTTTCACAGCAGCACCAGAGGAGGCCTCTGAACGTCGGGGAGGAGGGTTTTGGGGTTCGGTCGGGGTCAGTCGGTTTCCAGGATGAGCGGCGGCTGCTCGTTCTCCTCCTCCAGGCGCAGGTCGTTGAGGTCCTCCTCGAGCCCCGCCCCGCCCACCGCGCCCTGCTCTTCGCAGTAACCTAGGAGACGAGAGAATCGGACGCAAGCGGGACAAGTGAGACGGACGGCTTTGCACATTGGAAGTTACCCTGCGTAATCAGACCAGAATGTTTTTTTCTATTTTTTTTTTTAACTCGGTGCATTTGGAAGTAATTTTATCTAAGGCAATATTAGAAACACTTTAAAGAGATGCAGATTAATAATTCAATTCATTTTGTACATGAGAAAATATCAAAAATGCAACAACATAGCCTTCATTTAGGCTTGTTCATTTTTAGGAAAAGAGGCATTTCCAGTTAAAAAAAAATACATAAACAATACAGCAGAGGGCTGATCTGTCGATAACACATATAGGTTGGATCTTTCTGAATCTTACAAATTACACTATATACATTACTAAAACTTTTTGTGTGCGTATCTGTGCTTCAAGCATAAAAGTATGAGATCAATTATTAAACCTTTTTATCACACAGTTCCAGCAACGACCCGTCTTTGTTTTTACACAGAGCTCCACCATCTGATCTGATCCCGTCTCCAGTACATTTTCAAGGCATTTTCTGGTATGAAGTGTAAATTAGAACAGTTCTGAGTGATTTGCAGATTTCTAAATTACCTTTACTGACAGCGGCACTGTAGGTTTGGGCCACAAGGGGGCGATCGTGTGAGCCCTGTTCCAGGATCTCATTGGGAGGTTCAGCACTGCTGTCAAGCCTGCATGCAGAAACAGAACATTTAAAAAAGAAAAAAAACTCCCACAGTCTGCCAGATGTAAAAGCCTTTCTGCTTCACCTGTGCTGCTTCATGAGCGTGCATTCCCCCCCCTCCTGAGGGTCCAAGTTGTACAGGTACAAATATCCATCAGCCGCTGCCACCAGCAGCCTGGGAATCTTCTGAATCCTGGTTTAGAAAAGGGAGGCTCGTCAGAAACCCACTGGGCATTCTGCTGCAGCTCTCTCTCTCTCTCTCTCACACACACACACATACACACGCGCGCTCACACACATGGAGCAGTTGGGTCGTTTCCCTGCTCATTTGCATTGCAGCTCTTAAGCTATCAGGGGGATCAGAAAAAGGAAGCCAGTCAACTTTTACAAAAGCTTTTTCTTTTTTTTTTCAAAGTACAGCAACCGATTCCTGGCGAACGACAAGGGAAATGTGCACTGATCTGGTTTGTTTTCAAAGCAACTAAAAGAGGTTTCGTTGGTGCTCACACAGCTAAGGCGCAGATGTTTTTGTGTCCGCAGAAGGGCAGGCGCACGGTGGCGAAAGCTCGGCCCTGGGTGAACATTTCTGTGACCTGTGAAGGTAGGTAGGTGGTGGACGCCATCAGGACCTTCCCCAAGTAACCCCCCCATGTCGTCGGCTCCTCCGCCGGCCTGGAAGGGGGGGAACAAAAAAAGACAGAGAACACGAGGTATGTCTATAGTTTGTTCCAAACATTTTTATTTGAATTTTTTTGCTATAATTTATAAGGATTTTATGTGATCTATGATTTTCTATTATTATTATTATTATTTTCTTGCCAGCATCAATTTTCTTCCAGGGTTGGGTGAAGAATGTGAAGTTTTCTGATGAGGAAAACGTGTCAGAAGCGAAAATTTATCGTTTAGCAGCAGGACAGCACAAAACAAGAGCTTCAATGATCAAAACATCAAAACGTGTGCAAGAAAAGCCTAGTCAAAGTCCAGGAGACTTTGACTAGGGAAGACTTGAAAATGTATTTTTGGAGATGCTTTCCGTTCATTCTGACTTGAGCTGGACTTATTTTTGGAAAGGATGAGCAGAAACATGAGTTTCAACATGTGCAAGTTTAGTAAAGGCCACCAAAGAGTTCGCTAAAGGGAACAGGAAGTAATGCACATGACAAGTTTGAGATCTGACATGTAGAAATATAAAAAATAATAAAGACTGCTAATCATCTTTCTGAGGTGTGTGGTTGTAAATTAACTGAATGGAGAAACATTCTGGAGGCACTGTGTTTTTATTCCTTGGGTTGAAATAATGGACAGAGAGAAAAACAAAGGGCACTTACACATACTTCTCCTTCTGCGTCTCTAATTTGAAAATGTGGACCGTCTCTGTGTTGCTTGAGGCAGAAAGATACAGGCCTTCCATGCTGAACGCCAGCGAACAGATGCTCACACACCTGGGAACAAAAAAACAACAACACACACACAAACGTTCAGCGAATGGAAAAATGTGCAGATCCAGAAACAGAGGCTCGACTCCTCTTTCACTTCCCGACCAGCAAACCGCTCGGGTGTCTCGGTCGTGCTCTACCTCTTGACGCCTCGCCGGAACTCAAAGAGCTTCTGTCCCTCTGGGATGGAGAAGACGCGGATGACCGTGCCCTGCCGGGGAAGTGAAACGCACAGGACGCAGGCTGAGATGAAAAGGAAGCGAACACAAGGCCTCCTCTGTCTGTCCTCCAGACGCGTCAGACTTGAATTACCTTCTCTGAGGCCGTGGCCAGCTTGGTGCCGCTGGCGTCGAACGCCAACGCCGCTAAGGGGCTGTCGTGAGCCGGAATCATGTTGGCTGCCCTCTGAGGAAAACAAAACACGCCCGTGTTTGCTTTAGGCTTCGGCAGTGAGGCCCAAACCGAACGGACGCCATCGAGACTCGCGAACGTTACAGATAAGAAGCGTGTGTAAATATGTTAGCCACATAAATCAAACTGCTGGAGCCGGGTCGGTTCCCCCTACCAGGTTGACCGTGTCGAACACCTGGACCTCCCCTATCGTGGCGCTGCCCGGATACGCCAGGTAACAGTTATCGTTGCTGATGGAGAGAGCACACAGTCCTGCAGAGAAGAAAAAAAACAAAACAAATATGATGAACTACAGAAAAACTGAAGCAGGTGTTTAAATCTAAACCTACAAAAACAGAAAATCTTACTTAGTGTTTTTGGTTCAATTTCCAGAGTCACGTCTTGATATTATAAGTGGGAAATGTCTTGTTCCACTGGGAGATTAATTTAGAAATAACTTGTAGTTTTTCATCGATATTAAGGAATTGCTGACTTGAAACAAGCTGCTATTTTTTTCTGAAAAGTTACTTATAAGTTAGTTTGATCTCATTTCAAATTTACAAATATATTTGAACAAAAACCTGGACCAAAAATACTTTATAGTAAAATGATGTGCTTTTGCTGTGTGAATCATTCTACAAATACATTACATAAAAATTGAGAGATTTTACAAGTGTTTATTTCTGGGGGGTGTTTTTTACTGCTAAAGAAAATCCAACATTCAGTTCATTAAAAACTTGAATATTTCTTAAGAGCAATAACAATAATAATCAATTCAGAGATTTCAATGTTATGGCCTGACATGGACAGTTTCAGAGTTCTGTATGCAAGAAGGTCAATAGAAAGTTTAGCGGAAGGAAAAAGTTTGATAAAAAAAAAAAAAAAAGATTTTGGGGGGAGATTGTGTCAGTGGATTAGTGGGCAGAAAGGTCCCTCTAGCAATCTGAAGACAATTGGTTCAATTCCAGCTTCATGTATTTGTGTTCCTAACTCTGCAGGTGGATGTTTTGGGATTTAGTGTCAGTGTATGAATGTGTGCGTCTTTGTGACTACAACGGGATCAATGTGATTTTTGTGTAAAGCACTTTGAATTTATATAAAAGCATTACATAAATTTAGTAAATTTCCCATTGAACTGCAGCTGGACATAAACTGCAGCTAATACCAAGAACATAAAAAGTCTTCTGTTTTGATAATATTCTAATATACTGTGACACACACACAAATATATATATACTATACAAGATTTTTAGCAGCAACCTAAACAACACGTCAGTTCCTGGTTCTAACAAACTCTCGTAAACTTTTAATGGAGGAGAACTGATCCATTTTCATTCCACCGCAAATTGAATCAATACATTTTTAATCCAGCTTATGTGAACCGACCTGACGGGTTGGGTGGAGTCTCTCTGATAGTGTGCAGCACTTTCATGTCTCTGATGTTGTGAATGTAAAGCGACTCTTCCAGACACACAATCAGCCTCTGCAGGGAGACAACGGCAACATCAACAAGACTGACAAAAAAAACAGAACAAAACCGAACGCGTTGTCATTTTTTATTTCCCCTACCTGTCTGTTCAGTTTCACAGCCAGTATGGTGTTTGAGTAAGAGTAGTTGCAGATCTCAGTTCCCTTCTTGAAGTGACAGACTTTGAGCTTCCTGGGGGCCTTCAGGCTCACGATGGCCACCAGGCTGCTGGAGAACAGGCGCTCCACGATGCACACATCCTCCGTGTCAGCTGCGGAGACGGACGCACAGAAAACATCACCGCACAGCGTCTGCCCCGTCGCGTGGAAAAATTAAGGGTTTCTCCTGACTCTTCAGAGTTGGTGCTTAGTTGCGCTGGACTTTATTTAGTGGCGTCAGAGCAAATGGGGCTTGCACACAACATATTTAAATGTTTTTATCTGTAGTAGGAATAAAGTAATATTTCCACACTATGTCGGTTCAACACCTAAACTCTCAGAAAAATTCAGTGAAAGTCTTGGTTGTGATGTAAAAAGGCGTAAATACTTTTTGCAAAACATAAGAGGATAAAAAAAAACACTATTTAAACCTGATAAGAAGGCCTGATGTTAAAGCATAGCTTTACAAGACATTTAATATTTTAGTTAAAACTGCTAATAGGTAGGTGATTCGATTCTGTCTAGACAAAACTGCATTACAGACAACAACTCAAAACATGTGACTGAGCAGCAGTATGATGACTGATGACTGGGAAGAAGGGGGTGGGGTGGAGAAAACATACTTACTACATTCATATATCTGCTCCAATTTGTCCACAGAGGACAAGGAGAAAAACTTGTATCCTGATTTGGTGCCAACAGCCAAGGACCTGCAGGAACAGCGGGTGGACGACAGACAACTGTGAGAGACCGAGCGCTGCATCAGCATGGAGCTGCAGCGCCTCTGTGTCACTGGACGCCGCGACATTTGTCACCCGACTCAGACGGTTTTGCAGTAACACCCAGGCTTTTCCGCCGCTACTTCGGCTCGAACGAACCCCGCTACGCTGACTCCGTTCCCTATGATGTGCGAATGCAAATGCGGTGGTCATTTTCGGGTTTCGCGGCTGGATCTAACAGCTCCTGGAAATGTTGGTCATTCATCATTAGAGCGACTGAAACACGCCGCGTTTTTATGACTTTACACACTTTAGCTCACGAGTGAAGAGCAACATTTGTAGCCTTCATCTAGACACCCTGATAATCCCCGTGGAGGCTAACTTTGATGTACTGTGGCTAAAGTTAGCCCCGATATTACAGCATCACGTTAGCTAACAAGCTAAGCTAGCCTCCGGTGAATTAAAACCTTATCTGGATGTTTTCCTTAACAACCCGGCTGCTACTTTCAATTTTACAGAGGGAAACCCCGTCCTGAATGTTTCACTTAAACACCTGTCACCCAGTCTGGGCAGCTGCAAACTGAGCTAACGTCAGCTAGCCTGAAAGATCCCACAGGCCGCTGCATCCCCGGACTAGCTCCCCGGCCCAGCCTTACGTGTTATCCTGGTTAAAGTTGGCGAAGAGAAGCTGGCTTCCGCCAGCATCCCCGCTCAGACTGGCCAGGTTCATGGGCTCGACACCGTCGACATATAAAGCTTCTGGTAAAATAGCAGCAACGAGACTGGAATTGTTTCACTGAAATAAGTATAAGTGTTGCGTTTTCACGAAGCCATCTCCGTTTCCAGTCCCGCGGTTCTGATTGTTGTTGTTTTTCACAGGGGATGTTGCTCACCCTCTGCGCGCATGCGCAGTGGAAGACGGCGTTCGGTTTCTTTAAAGGGCCAGCGTCACAAAGTATCAACAAATAGCTAAAAAAAAAATACATTTTAACCATTCACGAAATTCAGAATCTGTGTTGCTGCAGTGAAAAGAGAAAGAGAAAAAAAATTACAAATATGACTATCGAAAATATAATGTAACGTGATTTGTGAGTTGATCTACCAGCGCCCTCTACCGTCAGATATAGGAGTTTTAGGATGGAGAGAAATGCATACAACGTCCAACATTAATCACACAAATCCTTCTTATCTGTGGTGGACAATGAACCATAAAATTAGTTCGACTCCGGATGTGTCATTTAAACTCAGCCGATAACCATATTATATTTAGACTTAACTTTATTAATCCACAAACAGACTGGTTCGGCGTCTTTGCAGATAAATCCTTGAAACACGATCCTTTTTGCATGAATGACATTTTAAGACTGACTAGACAAAAAAAAAACAACAAAAACTTTGTTTTGTCCACATTGCAAAATAAATAATTTCTTACATAACATATTGCGGTGTAATAATCTCCCTCTTTTTAAGTACAACGCATTATAAGGCAAAATCATCCCGATTGTCATTTCCTTGTGAAAGAGACTGTTAAAAAAAACGTTAAAAAAAGAAAGGAAAATACCAGCATAAAATGAAAGTGAAAAACTCAAACAAATAAATATATGTTTTTGTTCAGAACTCGATAGCAAATCTCATGTTCACCAGCAGAGGGCAGCATTTTGGTTAGCTTCATTTCTTAAACTCATGAGAAAAACTAACCTATTTAGCAGGTCGGAGAACCATGCGTAGCAGCAAGAGCTTTAAACTGTCTTATCCTTATGATTCTTTACTGCATCGCTGCAACATTTTGTCTCTGTTTCCTTAAGAGCCCACTACAGCATTTCAGTCAAACTGAAGTCCACACTGACTGGGTCATTGCAACGTCTCTGTTCTTTTTCATTCTCAACCATTCTGGGTTTTCTGGTGCGTTGGGAATTGTTGTTCTGCTGCAGACCCGGTTTGGGACGACTTTTAACTGTTGGACACATGGTACCCGCAATGCCTTCATGACCAGCATATTCAGGAGTTCATGATCGTATCCTGCAGGATAGGACAGACTCTGTGGCCACAAGCCAAGCACAAACCATCGCTCTTCTGTCACTGTACTTGACAGTTAAAATCCTGGTTTCAGTTATGTCTATTCAAAGTTTTCCAGATTCGTTGTGGTTCATTCTGAAAGAACAACCTAAATGCCTAAGTTTGTATTCCTTTTCGAGAAAATGGGACTTTTCTCTCTGACCAACCAAAACTTGTGCACAAATTGTTCTGTTGTGAACGTCACGCTGTATCAGTGTCTAAACGTTGGCTGAAATACTCCTGGGAAAATAGCGAATGCATGAAGTGTTTCCTCTCAACAGAACAATATTGTTTCCATAATATAGAAGTATGGCCACAGTGAATGTATTTCCTAACCCTGTTTTGACTATGACAGATACTCTGTCATCTCCGATTTCATTCATAAGAACCGTGAGTGAACTGTTTGGGGACTAAATTACTCCGGCCAACAATATGTAAGCTTATAAAACTGATCATCAGTTCTCATAGTTAACCTTTAATGCTTTAATGCAAAAACATGTCACTTCAGCCTGATGCATAAAAATGTAATATATTTCTGTGCATATGAGCACCTCAGATGCGAGGCCTCACACACATTTTACTCAATTCCACTGCATTTCTTCACGCACCTTGAGAATTTAAGGTATTTGGAGGCTTCCTTTTGGAAAACGTTGTCTGCTATTGAGATAAACTTGCTTCAATGTCCTCCATATTTAGACCATTTCCAATAGAGTAAAAAGGCTGATTTTAAATTCCTTTGAGACCACCTTACCGCACTCATTCTTCCTGGAGACACCAGATTGCTGTTTTGACCGCAGAAGGGTTTTCACGCCCCCTTCAAACAGGTCAAACCTTCTTGAAAATGCAAAATGTTATAGTTATGATGCAAAAGACTAAATGTAGGTGTGCTCCACTTCCCTGGAAGTGTTACCTCGGTGCTGGGTTTGACGCTGGCCGAGGTTCAGCTTAGAACAAATTGCATATAATATTAATCTGAGACACGTTTCCAGTTTCCACCACAACTTGCAGGCTGTTAATGCGAGGAGCGGCCATATTGGAACGGAAGTCCATCTTTTTTTAAAAAAAAAATTTGATTTAAGATTTAACGACACTATGCGGAGGTAAAATAAGTAAATGAAAAAAAATCAAGAGTTGAGATAAATTTACACAATTCTAGTTTTGGATTAGGTTAAACAAGAAAGTCCTGCCTACAGTGGGAGTAATGGAGTTGCTCCCAATTTCCCGGTGGGAAATCTGACTTCAGAGGTCACATTCCAGTTCATGTTTTTTCCCAGTCCGGAGTTCAACTGGATTTCCTCACCAGAAATCATGTTTTTGTGTCTTATCTTGCAATTGTATTTTCATTACTTTCATCAGCTACTTACATTTATTCATTATTGACCGTTTTTTAGATTTGATATCCTTCATATGATAGAAAATGGCTGTAGCACTTGTCGCTTTGCATCAAGAAGGTTCTGGATTGGAGTCTGGATTGTTCTCCTTGTGCATGTGTGGATTCTCTGCAGGTACTCCGGCTTCCCCACAGTTAAGAAACAACAACAAAAAAAACATGATTGTTAGGTTCACATTGGACATTACATTTTTCCACAAAAAAACAGAACGATTTAATAGGTTTGCAGAAGCCTGTCGACTGCCAGGATATTACATAAAACCCGCGTCACGGAAAATCTGCTCTTCATCCGCAGACTTAATTGTTCTGAATGCCAGCTCCTGACAAATGAAATGAATTAACTACATTTGACAACACCTGAATGTATTCACATGAACGTCACCGCTTTATACTTTTCTTTGTTTTTTGTTTCAACATGTCTCAACTCATCAGCAGGGCTATTCATCCAATTTACTCAACTGAATATTTTTTTCTTCTTTTATTTTTTTTCCTCTCATCAAGCCCCGACTTGTCCTGAGAATTGGCTGCTCAACAAGATAATTAGCAGTTTCTCTTTCAGTCGTTGGTAATTGGAGAGGGAAAGAAGCAGACAGTCGTGCCAGTGAAATTTTTCTGGGGGGCGAGGGGAGAGTGAGTTTGTGCGTGCGTGTGATGCGGGTCGGCAGGGGAGCAACTCGGAGGAAAGTGAAGCAGGAGGAAGTGGCAGCCGGGTCTCTGCTGCCTGTTCGGAGCGAGGATCTCACCAAACAAAGGAAGGATACAGAACCCAGACGCAGTCAGACGGCCGGCAGAGGCAGGGAGAGGAGAGAGAGGAGAAAGGCAGCACAGCTGAGGGAGAAAACAAAGCGACATTGTTAGTTTCTGTGAGGAAGCACCTGCTGGTCCGCGTTGCTTTTGTTCGATTAAATTTGGGAGGAATGTTCCGATTCTTTGAGATTCCGACGAACACCTCGGTAAAATCAGCAGCTTATATTTGTGCAAAAAAAAAAATAAAGAAAGAAATAAAATAAATACATAAATATTGAGGATTTTATGTCACAAGTTAACACAAAACAGAGCATAATTTGTGAGATTGCAGAAGAAAATGGAGTGCATTTTTACCCAGCCTCTTTTATTGTGATGCTCTGAAATAAGAATGTTTTCTGAAAACTTTTTTCTATTATTATAAAAGTGAATTTTTTTTATATTAGAGAAGAAAAAAAAGCATCGTGGAGGCCGAGAAAGATAGCAGAAAGCCAGAGGTGGAGAAGTAACTATCAGTTGAGACAAATATGGCTTTTATGCCAAAAGTGTTTTTTTTTTTAAAAGCCGCTTTTAAAGTTTCCCACAAGCCATCTGAGAGACAAGGCAAGCAGTACTAAGATCAAACGAGACAAGGATTATGTCGACAAAACAATATGTGTGGCAGGAAAACGTACTTAGCAGTGAAACACGGTGGTGGCAGCATCATGCTACAGGGAAAAGCGAAGCTGGTCAGAACTGATCCAAAGATGGACGAAGCAAAAAAGAATCATTGCTTAAGAATCACTCTCTGATGGATTCTCAATGACTTTGAGCTATTTTGAGACGACAAGAATCATCAAAGATTTCAGATTTCAGACGTACAAAACCGGTAGAGACGTTTCCCAAAAGACATGACTCTGCGGTATTTAATATGGGGCGTATTCATACTGTTGAGTATAAAACTCAACAGTTTCATACAAACGGAATCATATTTTCTACAATGTCACAATTATGTTCCACTCTGTGTCGGTCGGTCACACAAAATCCCAGTAAAACAAACCAAGGTTAGCGGCTGCAATGTGGAAAAAAAAACAGACATCTGACTACGTTTAGAAATGCCAAGGTTAGATTCGACTTTGGTCTTTTAAAGGACCACAGCAGCTTCATGTGATTTCCATGGAAATCGCTTTCTACTCTGCTTACATTATGATTCAGAGAAAGCCACGTCAGTTGGTCCAGTTTTACCGTTTCCAGGGATTGAGAGTCTGTCAGCAGGGGCGCAGGTCCAAACCAGGCTGTACAAACAAACATGACGGCCAGAGGGCAGAGAAACCAGGGCCTGAGAAACAGCCTCCTGCAGCTGTAAATCAGGAATCCACGCTCATCTTGCAGCGGGCAAAATCACGTGGAGTATAAATTAACTGATAACTGCAGGTTGACTGGATAAATGATTGAGCACAAACTGCACAGGTTCCCATCCACGCTCTGGCTGACATGTATTTATTCCAGCATGTAAACCATCCACTCACAAACACACACTAGGCCGGCTCGCTGTGAGCTGGTGGGAGTGTTATTTACCAGAATATTTGGTTGCTTGACCACAGTCACTGATACTGAGTCTAATCTTCAAACACATCGGGGTGACCGCGTCACGTTTCCCGCTGGCTCTTTGGGATGTTCGTGTATTTGCATTTTGTTTCTGTTCTCTCGCGCAGCTGCTGAACTCGGCCTGAACTGGCTTCTGCTGGTCACCGCGGGATAATGTTTAATTTTCCACTCACTTTTAGAGCGAGCGCGACTTTGAGGAAATGCATGAGCAGACTTTGAAAAAAAAAAAAAATATATATATATATATTAACTGACTACCATTTACAATACAAAGAAGGTGGGATGTGTTTCAAGTCAAATATTGGGGGCAAAAACTTTTAATTTAAAGTGTCTTTTTTTTTTTTAAGTCCAGTTGATGTATAAAAAAGCCAATAAAATCAGAAATGTTTCTCTTTTAGGTTATTTACAAAATACCAAAATTATTTGCAGTTGCCAAATCCTAGAATAGGAAAAGTTTGTTTGTTTTTAAAGAGGCAGTATTACATGTTTTCACAGCCATGTGGCTATTATTTAATTTGGACTATAGCATAATCAAGTAACTCTTATGTAACTAGGAATTATGTTACCTACAGTTGTTATAAAAATGCTATATATATATATATATATATATATATATATATATATATATATATATATATATATATATATATATATATATATATATATATATAAGACTTAAGAGAAATTTTACTTTGTAATTTAACTCCTTGAAATTGGGCCTCTGTCTCTTTAAGAAGCTCTTGCTCTTTCTGAAACTCCGCCTTCAGGAAGTCGTCACAACATGACTCCTCTATTAACCCTTTAGCAACATTTTTACCAGCGTTTCACTGAGACGTAGTTGATATAATAAGTTCGACTGATGTGCAGTTCCACCATGTGGTTGCCAATTGCTACTGGCTAGTCTGAAGGAACCGAGTGGGGGAGTCAGCATGCTTACAGACATTTTCTTTGTATTCAAAAGTATTGCTGGTTGAGTTTCATAATTTATTTATTTTTTTGATACTTTGCTTCTTCTTCCACAGAAGTTGCATAATGTTTGCATGAATTTTGGCCGATTCCTCCCAAATGAAAACATTAAGTCAGGTCTGTAGGCCGCCTCACTCACACACATCTTTTCAAACCAGAGAAAATTGTCTTCATTTTATCAGAGTAACTGCTTTTATTACTGAAATATTCTCATCTTTATTTATCTTTCTGTGTCTTTTTGTGGTTTTTATGGCAAAAATGCTCTTGCTGGGTTTTGTTCAATTTGGTTGACAATTAAAATCTTGTAACAGCAGCGACATGTCTTCACTTTGTTTTTGTCTTTTTTTGTTTTTTGTTAATAGGAACTTTTGGTTCTCCTTAAAATTCTTTCCTCTTCCTGTCGCCTCTGGCTGCAAATCAAGCTCAGACATTTATGAACCCGCCTTCAAGCTGAGTTCAACGTATCATGATGCATCCATCATGAAAACCTCTGAAGCTTACATCTGCCAGTTTAAACAGATTCATAAACTAGTCCACTTGCAAATAGTGGAAGTGGAAGTTTGTATAAAAAAAAATATTGATTTCAATTTTAGGAGCAACGTGTGCTGGTAGTGTTTGCTATTTTATTCATCGGAGCGAAGAAACATCTGAACAATGAGCGATTTAACACCAAGAAGAATGACCGGACATATTCTCAACCCAGAATCGTCTCACTAGATTTAAAACTTGAGAAAAATCACATCAAACAAACCAGACCTTCTTAAATAAAGTTTTGAGGGTTAAGATGGAACTTGTACATTTTAGAATTCTATTCTAAAATGTTTATTCAATCAACAATAAAGTCTTTGCTTTAGAAAAACCAAGCATTTGGAGAAACCACTGGCGACCTCTTATGAGTTCATGATTTGTTTTCCTTTGTTTTCGATCAAACTTCTCCTTCCAAGGTGTCGACTTGAACGTTGTCAATAAAGTTTGAAATCTCGTGCCTGATGTGAGGTCATCGACTCGCAAACATGCGCCGCAAAAACAGATTATTGTTATGTTTTTTTAAAGTGATATTTTGCGAAACAGTATCATAACTGCATCATAACCAGCTGCCTTTTATTTTTCTTATCATTAGTGTGCATCTGTAAGAGAGAGAGAGAGAGAAAGCTCCAGCTCTGGATTGTGTCTTTAAGCGGGCGGCCCGTGTTTGTGCAACAGAAAACCCACCTAAACGTGTTGCGTTGTGTTCCACCAGCCCTCTCTGTGCGTGCGTCGCTGACGCGCGGCGAGGAGGAGCCGTTCGCTGCCGATGCGTTATCGCCGGGAGCGATAACGCGGGGGGGAGGGGGGATGCGGGTGAGGGGGAGGGCTTACAGTTGAGCGGAACATCCTGCGAACAAGTCCGGGAGTCGAAACCAAACTCTTCCCTGCTCGCGGCGCTTCGCTCCCTCCGCGCTCGTGTCGTGATGATGCCGCTCGGCGGGGAGAAAGTCTCAGCGGCTCCGGCGACGGTTGGCCGCTTTGCCCTGCTGCACGTATGAGCGAGCGCCGTTTTACTGTTTTCATCTCCGGACGCACGGCGGTGGGACATCCGGCATGGAGAGTCCGTAGGAGGAGGAGGAGGAGAAGGAGGAGGAGGAGACCACGGCCGCTGCTGGTTTGGTAAAGAGAGCGCGAGCGCACCGACGCACGCGCTTTTCTGCGCTCGAGATGGACTTCAAGAAGACAAAATTTGGAAGGTAAATTATGGGGGGTGGGGGGGCGAAAGTCTGAGCTCGTTATGAGTGAAACTAACTGGAGACCCACACGGCGGGCGGACAGATGTTGTGCGTCCGCTGCGCGCTGTGACGCGCGGGCGCGTGGGCAATCGGGAGTGATTTACAGACGAGCGAGCGCGCGGGTGACGGGGAGCGATCAGTTCAAATGTCCATCTTTCTTCCCGGGATCGTCGTAATTTCCTCCGTCGGGGCGGAGTGGCTCTGAAAGGTTTTCGATCTCCTTGAAACTTTCTGACATTTTGGGAGATGGAAACCGCCGCGGGCTTCACGCAACACGAAGTCGGTGCAACTGTCACCGCTTTCACTTATACAAAACAGAGAAATGTGGCGCGTATTAACCAAGTCAAATTGGATCGATCGCGTCCGTAAACATCAGTGTATGCGCGCCTTGCTTCGGATTCTCAATACATTTGGACTTTGACTGGTCCATTCCAACACGTGAGCACATTTTTCATCCAAACAGTTTCACTGCAGCTTGTTGAGGGTAAACCTTTAGATTTTTGCACTTCTATCCCCGAAGAAAAGCATTTACACAACTTGTTTCCATGGGAGATGTTTTCGCTGATCTTGTTACACAGAGCTCACCCATAAATGTGTTCTTCTGATTGAATGCGCTCCTTTCTTGGCCTTGCGGGCCAGCTGTGCCACGCTCTGTCTATTTACTTAAAGTTTCTCCGTCGAAGGTCAAATCTGGATAGTGTTGTATGACCAAGCAACACTTTAAACTTCTGCACAACTTTATCCCTGATCTGCTGGACCAGATTTTAAGAAGAGCTCATAGGGGCAGTAGCCCAGGGCGCCGTTTGTTTGGGGGAAGCCCCAAGGATTTTTCTTTGCTGTTCTGTCAGGGAATGTGTGTTTTTCAAACATTATACTTTATAAAAAAAACTCATGTTTCACAAATCAGATGAGTCACATTCATATTTTATGAATGGAATGATTTTAAAAAATATTCAAGTATTTGGAAATAATGAAGTTGTGGTCGATTTCTTTGGGAACGACGTAGAGTTATTGGCTATTAAACCTACCATGAAACAAGGCATAGCTGTTGACGACTACCTAATTTGCATTAGTTAAATAGGTTTTTCTTAGTGGACAGGGCACCAAAACTGCTGTGCCCGGGGCCACACATCCTTGTAAATCTGGCCCTGCTGTTGTAACACTGGTGGTGGTTTTGGGATATCAGATTAAAGATGGCTGAAAACAAAAGAAACCCATGTGTCGTTGTCCTTCTCCGTCACAATCATCTGCTATTTCACATCGCTCTATCCAACAGTAACCCCCCATGGAAACACGGGTCAGGCTTCTGTTTCTCAGTAAGACCCCCGATGTGAGTCACAGTTCAGCGCCGTGATAAACTACCAGTTTATCAAGTCCAGTCCTGCCCCGGGACGTTCACCGCGCTGAAGGGGAAGCTTGGCTACAATCGTGAGAACCAGAGTCGAGGACTCCCAGAGGAGATTAACTTGATCTTCGCAGTGAAAGGAATAGCCTTGGAGTTGCTCGCGCGCAGATTCCTGCGGCGCACGCCGTGATCCAGAGGCTCTGATCCTTACATTATTACGTACAGCTGATCCTATTCATGCTCCGTGTGGCCTCAGTCTCCGCGAGGGGAAAGCCGGGCTCCTGCAAACACGTGGGAACATTTAGCCGGCATGTGACGCCCATCTGTGCTCAAAAGAAGAAGAAGAAGAAGAGGCGAGTCTTGTTACGAGGAAAAGAGAGGATCAGAAAAGAAGACAGATAACGCTGCCATCCATCCTGTGCGATCAGCCCCGTTTTTTTCAGTTGATTACACACCCTGGCACACACACACTCAGTTCTGTCATTGCTGATTAGAGAACAGCAGAGCCACAGACACAGCAACGGTGCCGAGGAGAATAGCTGCTCGCTTGTTGTGTGTTCTTGGCGCGGCCTCAAGAGATGGAGGACAAACAGGGAAGAAGTGGCAGCTACTCAAACATCGGATGTTATCTCACTAATTGTTTCTATCCTTTCTGCTCTGGAGTTGGACGATAAAAGCTTTGGAGTTCGTTTCGTCTTGTCGCTGTTGGAGCCTCGCTGGGCTTTTATTATTTTTGTGGACATAGGCTGGGAATTCCAGTGAGGCTTCAGAAAGCAGGACAAGCCACTTTGCATCATGTGGTGTTGCATACAAACAGAAAAATAAGGGTGAAGATTTGCTAAAGGGATCTGCCTTGTGCATTTTGGGACCCTGACGCCCACATCCACTTGCTAAAGCCATCACAGACGTCAACAGATCTGTTTGTGGCGGAGAGAGGGCGGCGCTGAAGGACAAACGATGACTAATTATTTATGTATAAGCTTCAGATCTGAGCAGCTTTCGCATTCGAAACCCAGTCAAAGCATATTGGAAAGGATTCATTCATCCACAGTTCAACGTGTTATTCTTTATAACTTTTGACTTATTTGAAAAAAATGTGTGGATCTATAAAAGGAAGCCCACTCAAAGATTCTGGTCAAAACTAACAGGAACTAATCATAACTTAATATAACAACCTCTGATCTATATTGGTAAAAACAATCTAATCCCAGAGTATGATGGTGCCGCCATTATGTGGCTATTGTGTTTCTCTTGGTGATGTTTTGGGATCTTTTGAAATTATGGCCCATAAGTTGTTATTTTGATTCCTTCAGATTATTATATATTCCCCGCCAATCAGTGGCGGCCCCAAAGGGGGGCCAACAGGGGACCGTGGATCCTGCTGGAAATATGTTAACTTGCCCTTTAACCCCCCTCACCCCCCCAGAGAATCACGTTTGGTTGATAAAAAGTCATACAGTCATCATGTAAAACTCAATAAATAAATACATGTAGTTGTTCCACCCTAAAATATGGAGAATAAAGTTTTATTTCACATTTAAAACACATTCATTGCTTGTCGCTGACAGGCTCTTGCCACATGTTTTTGTCATTTGATCAGGATACATGTTAAAGAAAAGAAAGAAATGATTTCTCCCCATCGCAGAAGCCTGGCATTTTAACATGGATTTGCACGGTTTACAGAGAGCCAGCATATGAGCTCCTCCCTTTGTATCCTATTTAATCAGCAGTAAATCCCTCCATCCCAGCTCACAGCACATCTGGAGATGTTACGAAATCACAATTTTATTTTTTTTTCCACTCTCCCGGACAAACACCAAGTTACGTGAGCGCAGGTGCGTCTGTGCTGTTTGGTTGCGCATGTAGGCCGTGTGCTCATTATCGCGCGTGCATGCCTCTTATATTGCTGCTCGGTTTCATGGTTGAGCGAGAAAGCACACTTATGAGCAGAAGAAAAACACACAAGGGGAAGGTCGCGTTTTGCTTAAGCCGTGGCTGCCCGCTCACCTAGAACTCAACTTATCGTTGGAGAATCGGACATTATTTACAGTCACGCGACTTAGTGGAAGGCCTCAGTGGGGATGTCGAAAGCCAAAAGTCACACACAGTGTGATGTGGATTAGAAAACTGCAAATCCTCCTAGAACAATCACTTGCCCAACACATTAATCCGGTTCCCTTGGTGTTTTCTGAACCAGTAAAAGACACGAATTGACCCGCCTGGCCTCGAAATCCACCGCTGATGTTTTCTCTCCCTCTCTGCCTCTCGTTGCGGTCAGGTACATGAACTGCAGGGTGCCGGCCAACAAGAGATACCAGCCCACAGAGTACGAACACGCAGCCAACTGTGCCACACACGCAGTAAGACGACCGCCATGTGTGGGTGGGAAGTGTTTGACTGGATGTGGAGGCAGAATGGAGAGGACGGTTCTTTCTGTTCTGACTGTGTGACGGGAGGAAATAATCTGCGAGTCTCGTTTAATCTGCTGTAATCCTTGCAGCCTCACACAGATGGAACGAAGCAGACGGGTGCAGAAACTGGAAGAAAATGGGAAAATAATGCTCAGCCATGTTAAGGCTTTTGTAGATTTTTGGCTTGAGTCGTGATGTTTTAACCGCTAAGCGTGTTCACATCATATATATGTACACATTTGGTCTCCACCACATTGTGAGAGATGAGAGTCCTTCTGTTTCGGCCTTCGTTAATGCTGCGTTCCAGTTGTACTTGGAACTGGGACGTTCCCAGTCTGAAAATCAAGTCAAACACCCTCAAAAGTGGAAGTCCCTTCTGGGAAACGAGGAGCAACTCCAATCCTCCCGTCAACAGCGGTGACATGTGGTGAAAATATTTTACATGACACATAAAGCTCTGGAAATAAATAAGAGACCACTTAAAATGACCAGTTTCTCTGATTTTACCTTTCATAGGTATATGTTTGAATAAACTGAATTGAAAAAAAACAACAAATCCTATTAACTACTGATACGTCTCTGAAATTCAACGCAAAAAATGTTGAATTTATTAGCAGAAAATGAGAAACGGTCAAAATAGCAAAGACGATGCAGCGCTTTCAGACCTCAAATAATGCAAAGGAAACAAGTACACATTCGTTTAGAAACAACAAAACTAACGTTTTAACTCAGAAATCAATATTTGGTGGAATAACCAGGAGGTTTTCAGTGTGGTTCGGTGCTGTGGGCTCTTCATTTCTTCCGAGTTGTATGCAAAATGGGTCAACAGCCAATGTTTCATGGAGCGCCTGCAGCTACACACTGAGCAAATAAAGTTTGTTTGCGTATGGAGAGAAAAACTTCATAAAAGCTATTAGAGACAAAGTTTAGGCATTCGCCCCAGACAAAATATAAACTATTTCTTTCAGCTTTCTGTCAAAGAATGAACAACAAAAATATATATAAAAAACTCTGAGTTAATTCCAACTATGATTTATGACTTTTTTTTTTTTAGTTTTGGATTCTTCCCAGCATGGTAGGCGGGTCTGTGCTTTACTTCCTGTCTGTGGACAGATGGCACCGGGTCGCCGCCTTGCTCTACGGGAGCGGTCTCACTGGCCTCTTCCTCACCTCCACGCTCTTCCACACGGCTGCCTGGAAGATCAGCCATCTCCGGTGGGTGCACCAAGTCGCCGTGAGTCTGTCATGTTGCAGTGGGACACGCTCAAATCTGTCAAAGACAATGACTTTCCGGTGGTTTTATGTATTTTCTAGTACTGAAGCGTAACATTTTAGATGTCATTTCATAAGACCAAACTGAATTTGAAATGCTTCGTCTGGATCTCTTTGTAGGAAGGTGGAGGAACGTTTCCACATGTGTGACCGGATGGCCATCTACTTCTTCATCGCTGCCTCCTATTCTCCCTGGTGGGTCTTTGGATTTGATTGTTCTGTGAGAATAAAAGTCAAACGCCATCTAATCCGGTTGGGTCTTAGGCCACATAACGGCACTAGGACACCACTCTTTAAGGCCTTAAAAGGCATGTATCGACACTACTTGATTTGACAGGTTGATAGTTAAATAGTGGTTGAGAGATTGGAACAGTGCTGTGCTAAATTGGTTCAGGATTCACTTGGGGGACAAAGATTACATCTGGAGTTCCCCAAGGCTCAATTCTCGGGCTCCTTTCCGTTGATCAATATACTCGCCGTAGTTTTAGGGGCGTAACGAGATCTCGTCGTAAACGATTTTACAACATTAAAACTTCACCTATGGCAGGAGACCGCTGTCGATATGAACTGCAAGTTGTTCTGACGCTGAAAGAGAAAGAAAGCATCACAGTGACTTCCAATGCCGGGACATCTGCAGGTCTGCAATGGTAAATGTTGCACCGCAGACAGTTGACACAGGTCGAGAGAGATTCAAGAATCAGAAAAAGAAAGATGTCAGATTGGCTAAAGGCCTTTGTGGTTTTTCTTAAAAGTAACGCTAAAATTTGGTCTCTTATCCTGTGAACTCAATATCGCATCTCGTCTTGAGTCTTTGGTTTCATTGTAACCTATCCTCCCTCATCAATGCCGATGACGCAAAACTTTAAATTCATGCTTCACCACCGGACAACAGCTCCTTATGCTCACTGAATAAACTGTATTGGCGCATGTGCGGGGAAAAATTTGCAAGTTTGAGGCACGTGACCAGAGTTGCATTGAAAACATCCTCAGGTTGATGCTGAGGGAGCTGGGACCCTGGACGTACCACATGCGCTGGCTGATCTGGGTCATGGCTTGCGTTGGCTCCACGTACGTCCTTTTTTTCCACGAGAGGTAAGAATCTCTCAAGTTCTTCCAGCTTTGAGTGAACGTGTTGACTGAAACCCAACTCCGGCCCTCGTGTGTTCAGGTGAAACTCTGAAGCGATGTCTTTTTGACGCTCCCGTTCTTGCGCCGCAGGTACAAACTGGGAGAGTTGCTGGGATATGTGACAATGGGGGCTGTTCCTGCGTTGGTCATTCTGTCCATGGTAAGTGCTAAAACAACAGGGTCCAACTGTTGTCTGGTTTCAGCTTCAGGGTAGGCCCTTCTCTGATTGTTCAACACTTCCTTCCATTGTGGTTGAACCGCACGGAGAGACAGAGAGTCAAGCTGAGACCCGTTTGCTTCAGCGCTTTTCCTCCAAACACATCATCTTCTTGCTCTGCTAAGCCAACAAATGCAAATGTTTGTCATTAACCTTCTTCTCTTCTGAATCATTGTGGTTAGACTCATTCGAAGCCCCTGTTTGCTTTCAGCGCCTGAAAGTTGAATCTGCTCTTCTGAAACCTCATAGCTTTGAGTTTAGAGGCCCCGAACTCACCAGCTAAATCTTTAAATCTGATCATGTTATTTTCAGAAAAAGACTAAAAGAATTTGCCAAAGCGGCTTTTAGGTTTATTTCAAACGTCACTGAAACAGGAGCGAGGAGTGTAACGGATATGACTGGGAGGGTTTTGCCCTCCCATCTGTGACATGGACAGAAGCCGCGTCCTCCGGGACGAGACCGGCAAACTTTTGAAACACTTGAAAGCAACAGAAACATTCAATTTGAAAAAAAAAAAGGTGCTTGATACTCTCCAAGTAATCAGAGGCCAGTTTACATGAGAATAAAAAAAAAATAAAAAAATCTGGGAAGGATTTAGTTTCTGTGCTATCCTTTTAGTCAATTTATTTAACTTTTCTTTTTTTCCACTTCTAACCGCTGCGACACAGATGAACTTTCCCTTGCCGTGCCTCCGGGCTCTTTGGTGACGTGTGCTGCTCCGTCGCAGGTGGACCGTGCGGGTGTGTGCGAGCTGGCTCTGGGAGGCGTCTTCTACGTGGTGGGCGTGGCCTTCTTCAAGAGCGACGGCCTCGTCCCGTTCGCCCACGCCATCTGGCATCTTTTCGTTGCGGTCGGAGCGGGCATTCATTACTACGCCATCTGGAGGTACCTGTACGTGGCAGGACCCCAGCCGCAGACGTCGAGGTGACGGACGGCTTTTCAGCCCGTCTCACCAGAGAATAAACACTGAAAGCTGCCGATTTGAAACCCGAAGGCGGCCAGTGACGGTGGCACTGAAGGGTTTCATCTTGGGCTGGTGCCGATGATTAAACTCTCAGTTTTAGGGACAAAACACCCAATCAAAGCCAGTGCAGTATGATAAATGGGAGCTTTTTCTAATATATTGTTGTGATTCTGCAGTTGAAAAGCTAAGAGCATTATTTTGTTTCTCCAGCTTAAGGACTGGTAAACCTCATCCGTGTGTGCCTAAATAGAGAATTGTGCAAAAGTTTTCAGCACTTTATGTGTTTTTGATTTCGAAGCAATAACTCATATCACTGCTCTGTTGCTGCTAAACAAAGGTTTAGCATTGAAATATCTTCAGTAGAATAATTTAAAAGTGTCTGTTGGGCAAAGTGTTGAAATTTTTCACATTTTGTCATGTTACAACCACAGACGTCAACGAGTTTTGTGGCGATTTTATGTGACTGTAACCCAGTGACTGTAACTTCATTGCTCCCCATTGCGTGGGGAGCAATGAAGACGGACTTAAAGCCTGATGTAGATCAGCAGCCGCTCTCAGGATCATGAAGTGGAAGATTTCTGGTTAAAAGCCACTCGTCGGCGGACTGAGAGCGTGGGGAGCAATGAAGACGGACTTAAAGCCTGATGTAGATCAGCAGCCGCTCTCAGGATCATGAAGTGGAAGATTTCTGGTTAAAAGTCCACTCGTCAGGCGGACTGAGAGCGTGGGGAGCAATGAAGACGGACTTAAAGCCTGATGTGGATCAGCAGCCGCTCTCAGGATCATGAAGTGGAAGAATAATAACACTCAGAGCTGCAACAAACGTTTAAATCGAGTCGCGTTCGTGAGACCGAACGGCTCAATCAAAGTCCAGACGTAGGTCGGGTTCTTTTGGAAAGACGAGATCTTAATCTGAAGATACACTCCTGATCAAAATCTTAAGACCAGTCAAAAAATTGCAAGAATTTGCATTTAGCATTATTGGATCTTAAGAAGGTTCTAAGTAGAGCTTCACAATGTTAAAAGAAGAAATCAGCATAAGAGACAAAACATTTGAGCGGGGAATTAATTGAAAACTGCATTTATACTCAAACATGATTTTTTCAGCTGATCAAAAGTTTAAGACCATAGCTCAAAAAACCTCCAAACCCCCCAAAACAGAAATCAAGTACCAAAAAAAAGGACTCAGTAATGAGTAGCTCCACCATTCTTGTTGATGACGTCAAACAATCGTTTAGGCATGCTTGATGCCAGTGTTTCCAGGAGGCTAGTGGGAACATTGCTCCAAGTGTTGAAAATGGCTTCACGAAGGGCATCCACTGTCTGGAACTGATGTCCATTTTCGTAAACTTCCCTTGCCATCCATCCCCAAATGTTCTCAATTGGGTTTAGATCCGGGGAAACATGCAGGATGGTCCAAAAGAGTGATGTTATTCTCTTGGAAGAACTGCTTTGTCAGGCGGGCGTTGTGAACTGCAGCATTGTCTTGTTGAAAAACCCAATCATTACCACACAGACGAGGGCCCTCAGTCATGAGGGATGCCTGCTGCAACATCTCCACATAGCCAGCTGCTGTTGACGCCCCTGCACAACCTGAAGCTCCATTGTTCCATTGAAGGAAAACGCACCCCAAATCATGATGGCGCCCCCACCACTGTGCCTGTAGAAAGCATCTCAGGTGGGATCTCCCTGTCATGCCAGTAACGTTGGAAGCCATCAGGATCATCAAGCCAAAACTTTTTCTCATCAGAGAAGACAACTTTCTTCCACCTTTCAATGTCCCATGTTTGGTGCACACTTGCAAAGTCCAAACGGGCAATTCTGTGGAGTTGAAGAAGACGTGGCCTTTGAAGACGTTTTTTGTTTCTGAAGCCCTTCCCTTGCAGATGCCGTCTGATGGTTATCGGGCTGCAGTCGGCACCAGTAATGGCTTTAATTTGGGTAGAGGATCGTCCCTTGTCTTGACGGACAGCCAATCGGATCCTGCGGTTCAGAGCTGGTGAAATTTTTTGGGTCTACCGCTTGACTTTTTTGTTCCATAACCCTCAGGATCATTTAAAAAATGCAAAATGACTGTCTTACTGCGTCCAACCTCAGCAGCAATGGCACGTTGTGAGAGGCCTTGCTTATGCAGCTCAACAATCCTGCCACGTTCAGAGTCAGTGAACTTTTTGCTTTTGCCATCTGGAGGTCTTGACAGTGTAAAGACTTCACAGAACATGACATGGAATCCAGATTTTTGCACAGCTTTTGGCTTTTAAAGACTATGGTTTAAACTTTTGATCAGCTGAAAAAATCATGTTTGAGTGTAAATGCAGTTTTCAGAAAATTCCCTGCTCAAATGTTTTTGTCTCTTGCACTAATATTTTCTTTTAACATTGTGAAGCTCTACTTAGAATCTTCTTAAGATTCAATAGTGCAAAATGCAAATTCTTGCAATTTTTTGACTGGTCTTAAGATTTTGATCAGGAGTGTATGCTCGCTCCACCGCAAAAGGTTTTTAGTTACATTTGCAGCGAAAGGGGGCTTCGCAAAACACAATATGCACCGCACTTTTCGGACTTTCATTGATAAGGAATTGAGAACCATGCATGTTCCCCCCCCCCCACTTCACAGACGTGTCACGTAAAAACCCCCATTAAACCACATCAACGTTTATGACTAACATGAGAAAATGTCAGGTTTAAGGGGTAAATGTACTGTTGCAGGGCGCCATTGTTGGGCAGGATTAGGAAGAAAAGTATTTATAAGAGGACATAATGGCTGCAGTTTGAGATAGCAAATTATCTCTAAAGCTAAAAGAAGATCACCATTGATTGCTGTCAGGGCAAAAACCAGAATGTCTTTTTTATGCTAAGCTAGCATAGGAGCTACTTTATGTTAGCATGAAGCAATAATTTCTAAGATGGTTGTTTCAAAGTGGTCCAAATTCAGAGTTGTGAAGAGTTTCTAAAGGACTTGAAAATCATTTTTTGGGGGGGATTTTGTCTGTTTTTTCCCCTGCAAGTCTAGTTCAAGTACCAGGTGTTGGGAGCGTACTGTGTCATGTGGAGGACAAAAGAAGAAGCATCAGTATCAGAGACAGATCCCTTATAAGATGCATTGTTTTCTCTTTGGGAACCACAACGTCTGAGCTAAAATGGCATTTTCCTTTTGTTACAACAGGAACCTGGTTTTTCTCTTTGCAACAGGCTGCTGGAAACAAAGTGCCTAAAGATCCAGTTCTAAATGAGTTCTTTGCTCAGTGGGTTTGTGTACGTTTACACCCGCCACTGACTCAACAATTAGCAGAGACAATTACTGAATAATTTATGGGCTGGGCCGAACCGACGCAATGAACAGCGTGAAATCGATCAGCCGTTGGGAGTGAAAACGAAAAGAAATCTTTGATATTGCAAGATTTTTTTTTCACAGCAACTGTAATCGTTTGCTCTTTCTGCAGCTCCAAAGCTGACCAGCCACTTTTATTCCTGACTTTACCTCAAGGTGGAAGCTTTAGCGAGGCATTCTTTTAAGGATTTGCTCGGCGTTTCGCTATGGATTTCTGGTTGCAAGTCCACTCGTCAGGCGGACTGAGAGCGTGGGGAGCAATGAAGACGGACTTAAAGCCTGACGTGGATCAGCAGCCGCTTTCAGGATAAATGTCGTCTGATTGCTGATTTTTATTTGTTTGTGAAGGTGTCGCCAATTAATTGGACATAATTTGCTATGGTCACATGTCCTGGGTAAATAACTCCAATCTGGCATCATTAAAGATGCGTCACAGAGAACTGACAAAAGAAAAGGTTTTAAACAGTACAGGTAAATGCGATGCAAATAAAGTGAGACGATAAATTATTCATATTCTTTTTGCAAATTAGATGTGTTGCATACCCTGTAGTAGTTGACTGGAAAACAAAAACATCTGATTTAACCAGTTGCATAAATGTGCACACACACATCGTATTGAAAAATCATCCAGCTTTAGTCCGTTTTCTTTTCCTGTACCCTTCTCCTGATTGATACCTTTGGCCAGCTTGATCATTTTCACTAGAACAGCTGACATTTATTCCAGTTTCATCAGATCTTGAAGAGCGAATACAGAAATGCTGTTCTCATTTATGTAACCAGGATTATGAAGCTTTTAGATTTGTGTTTTGTTTTTTTCAGCTGATTTGCGCTAAAAGTGGAAAAAAAAAGCCTTGAAATTTTATCTACATTTTTGTAGTCATTTTAACAGAAAGTTATACCACTGCATTCAGACTCTAACTAGTCTGGACTGCGATTGCCAGTTATTTTGCTAATATGATGCACTGAAATTCACAAGCACTTTTCACAGACGTGTCATTTAACGGGCAATTTAATCAAACCAAGTAGTTGAATCTGGCTTGCAGTGTCGATTTAAGCATTTTAAGCATTATTGTGAAAATGTTGATTTTTATTGATAATGCCTAAACAAGGACAGTAAAAACCACAAGTGAGGATTTTTCTACTGAGGTGCGCTACTGTTTTAAGACACCACTGACTCAGGAAGATAAGCACTGTGTGTGTGTGTGTGTGTGTGTTTTTAATCAAGTATTTCTATTTGTAAAAATGCTATATTTCAGTAAAATCATTGTAATAAATATGACACTTTAAAAACCAGTGAGATTTATTTATTTTTTAAAGTTATTTACAACATCAATAAATTTCAGGTGAATCGTCTCATTCATTTACAAAAAAAAAAACAAAAAAAAATTTCTAAATGAAGGTGTTTTGTTGTTCAGATAATTCATAACAAGAGCCGGTGCAGGAGAATGAAGTGTGTGTCTGTCACTATGAGTGTGTGTGTGAGTCACTGTGTGTGTGTGTGTGTGTGTGTGTGTGTGTGTGTGAGTCACTGTGAATGTGTGAGCCTGGTGAGGACTCGAAGCTGCAGCGGCATGGCCAGGTTCGTGTCCCTGTGCCAGCGTGGCGTCAGGACGTGAGGGGGCGGCGTCAGGACGCTCTGAGCCACGCCGGGGGCTTTCAGCAGAGACCACAACTCCTCGCCACGGGTAACTATGAAGACGAGGTCGTCTTCGTCGGCGCACCAGGCAACCGAGCCACTTCTAGCTGCGGTTCTTAGCTTGGAGAAGAAAAGAGACACCCTACCGACAGACAGAGACAAGCAATCAGGTTACATTATTCTGAAAGGAGCTCTAATAAAGCACAAAAAAAAGTTCCTCACCTCGGAATCAAGTCATGTGATCGCGACGCCAGTTTGGCCAGCGCGCTCATCAAAGTGGTGATGACTTTAGGGGCGGGGCACACCGTTCCAGGAGGCGGGGCAGACGAGGTTATCTCAAACAGCACCGCCTCCAGAGTTTCAAAACAGGAAGTGATGAGCTCCACGGAGCAGCGGGAGTCAGACGACGCAGACAGGTACTCCCCCAGCACCCACACCTGCCGACCACAAACAAAACAAAACAAAAAAAAACAGCTCAGCATTTTATAATACGTTTTATCATCATTTCTATAGAGTGATGGACCCGTCCACCAAGTCATGTCTGTACGTACGCAGATAAAAATTATGACAAATACTATTTATTCTTTCTGTTTTGGTATAATAACGCCA